TTTTTCAAAAAAGCTTCGCCTGCACTAGAGAAGCTACTCAACAGGAGGAACTCTCCTTTTACGAGGAGCTAGAGACTTGCCAAAACTGGCCTTAAAGCTGGTCTACTTTACTTAAGTCTTGTTTGGTTCGGTGGCTTGCGTAGTGTTGAATATTCTAACCACATCTCTTCCTAAAATTTTTTGTGGACCACCCACAAAATTATAGGTTTTTATTAGACAATGGTTCATCCATCTCCTATATTTCTTAGTGAAAGAATATGCAAGAAATAGTATACAAAGTAGAAAAAAAAATAACAATAGAAAAATAGTATACAAGTATTATGTACAATATACATAAAATATCAATAGAAAATAATAAATTAAAAATCTTAGCTCAAAGTCAGAAAATAGGTTGACAATTAGTGACAAAGGCATCAGACGATGAAAGCGAGGAGATTAGTGTTGGTGAACAATGATGGTGGATAGGACATGGGAGCTACTACCGGAAGGTGGTGGCTGCCGATGGCGGGTGGACACCTAATTGGAGTGAATATTGGCTTTGTGACCTTGGGTATTTTGGTTATTTCCCATGTAGATAATAGACGAAAAAGAAAAATAATAAATAAAAGGTAATTTTGCATTAACCGGTATGAGTATGGTCATATTTAAAATGGCAATTCTTCTAATCTAATTTTGTGATCAAAACATTTGGAAGCCACCTCACAGGAGTGGCAAAAATCCAAATCCCTCTAAGAACATCTCAACCTATTTGTTCAATACCGCCCTGGAATAGTCCTGGGTAACGCAACTAACACGAATACCTAGCATGAATGCACTCAACATTAATTTATGTGCATTCATGCTGGTAGCATATTATATTTTTGCCATGCAAAGTTTTTAAGACATGTTTATACATCAATTAGGATGCTTTGAGATTTTTCTGGATATTTTCCCATTTTTCTAGAGCTATAATCCTATTTCTAAATGAAGTTTCTAAAAATGTCTTCATGATCTCTGTGTATTTTATTTGGATTTTTCGTATCCTAATCTATCTCTAGAATGTTTTTCTTTGAATTTTAAAAGGTTTGAGACATTTTTTGTGGTTTAAAACCTTATCAAATATTTACCGAATGTTTTTAACTAAAAATGAAAAAAACTGTCTTCAAAACCACTCTAATCCAGGATATAGAGATAATTTGAACGGTTTAGAAAGCTACGATGTCTGGGTTTGGAGTTGAAAATCAAACGTGATGGCTAAGGGCTCGTTCGTTTGGACTTGAACTGAGACGAAGCTTATGCAAATTAGACACGCAATCCTCGCTGGATTAGTTCCAGAGGCCCTAAAGGAGGTTGGAGGTACAATGGGCCCTTTTCCATTTTTTGACGGATCCGGCGCTGGTTGCGTTGGGTAATTGGGCTAACGTGAACTTCATCGGCCCAATAGTTTCCACAGAGCCGGGGCGGAGGTAGGCCCAGTGCAGTGCTCTGGGCAATTGGAAAAATCAAAATAGCCCTAGCACATCACACATCACTGGAAGGCGGAGGAGGCGCCCCACCCAGCGACGCCGCCGCCGCCTTACGCCAGGTGCCCGGGTCTCTTCTCCAGGCCTTAGTCGTAGGTCCCTTCGCCGGCGACGAGCACCACATTCTCTCCCATTCCTGCTGTGCGAAACCGAGTTCCCGAACCCTAACCTTCGCTATTTGGCTGTATTCGGATCTGATCTAATTACAAGTGTATACATGTATCATGCCTACTAACCTAGACTGCTTTTACAAGCATTATTGAATGTACATGTGTACACCCATGCCCTTTACTAGGTCCGCGCCTGGCTGTAAGTGTAAGTGTGTGGTGTTTTGCTTGCCTGAACATGTTCTGATTTGGTTTCTGGGGGTCCTCTGCTTGTTGCATGATAATCCTGTATTTTGGTCACATAGACGAGTGTGCTGTCTATTTCTAGCTTATCCCTACCTCTGTATTCAGGCTGATTAGGCTTCACAATCACTATGGGTTGGATGAATGAATGGATCCTGCTGTGTGCTTTTAGAACCTTGCAAGTAACAATGAATATTCTTATTCAGATGTTATGCCTTGCAGAGTTTTTTTAGCTGCAATGGATCCAGAAAATTCAGGCATTGATGTCATAGTATAATGATCTTGCTAAAATCATAGGATCATCTCTTGCACAAGCAATGTTTACAAAGTAATCTGCCCAAAGTCATTGCTGTCACATGACAACAATGCTTGAACTGTGGCTTTGCCCCTGTTTGCAACATGAGCACCATTCTTATTCAGATGTTATGCGTTGTAGAAATGTTTTTGCAACACAGTACCATTATGTACACTTCTGACGGTGCATTGTCTGGTCAATTAATTATGAATCTTACTTCCTCTGGTCATACCTGCCATATTCTCTCTCTATGAATCTCACATTTTCTTACTGAAAAAACAACAACATGATGCAGTGTTTTGAAAATTACATAGCTGCAATATATTTAATGTTAGCTGCATGCAGAATTTATGGTCCAATTTGTCAAAGGCAGTAGTGGCCAGTGGGCACAAAAAGTAGCACATGTGGTTATTTCATGATTCAATGCTTTCCTATTTCTTGATGTATGCACATGTATGGGTATAATCATGCAATTTTTTTGTGCAATTGTGCAGGTGACACTGCATAGCAATAATTTCTTTTTGGAAAAAAGCTGGAGCGATGAGTCATAAATGGTTCACAAGGATGACCTGCTGTTGCTGTGTGCGTTCATAGGCACACCAGGTAACCCATGTCTAAGTTTATTCCTTTCCTCTTAACATGCTCACTGAAGAAAAAGATCTGTTATACATAACTATTAGTCTTGATCAGTTGAAATGCCTGTTTGGAACTGGGCCATTTTATCTAGGCTTAGAACTGTTTCCTACTTCTCCGCTAAGCTAGCTTTTAATGGAAGTGCTAAGTTTGCCTCATTGGGAAGAGGAAGATGTGATTCTATCCAATAAAAGGGGTTGCAGGGCTCTGTAAATCAATAATATTTTTGTAACATGGTTCCCACAGAGACACTGTAACTGTTTGCAGAAGGAGGGATATACATAATATATCAGGGAGGATTGGTTAAATTGAATAGGCACCTCATTCTGCTACTTTGTTTCCAACTATTGTGAATCCATGTTACTTTTCATACCTTTATAATTCTGTACAGTTAATCTTCATATCAGTTAAGAGAGCCCTCTTCATAGTGAGTGTATCGTGATCATTCATGTCAATTAGATACTTTCCTCAACGTCCTGTTTACTTCTCTTACTTGGGCCCCATCAATCTCCTTTTCGACCCTTTGAACACACTACAGCTGCGATTGGTAGGTGGTGTTAACCTTTCTGTGGCGACTTCTCCATTGTGTCTGCTCTCTAGAATCAGCAGGGATGCCACTTTCTTAACTCTATTTCATCTCATTATTTTTTGTTTAAATTTGACAACTAAATCAGGATAACAAAGATACTCAAGTATTTGTTGTCACTTTGCTTCTATTTGAGCTCCTTAAATCATCTGCTGCAAGTCTTTTGCTCACTAAATCATGCGTAATGCAAACAATGTTAACAAGTCCGACCCATTGTCACCTGCTACCTTGCACTATTCTTGAGGACTAAATAACTCTCTTAACATTCTATTCTTGTTGACACTTTGACTTTGAGTGCCTTGAATCATCTACTGCAAGTCTTCTTTTGTTCACTAAATCATGCATGATGCAAACGATGTTAAGAGGTCTTACCTATTGACACCTGCCACCTCACTTTGATGACAGCCAACTGCTGAAGCAACATATACTACCCCAAGAAAGTTGATGCCTGCAGAGGATAAATAATACTTCTCCACTCAAACGTGTATCTGTAAGTGATGCCATGCTAACGTAAAGTTTCTTTTTATGTTGATTTTGAATTTTGATCCTGTGCATGTTTTACCTATGTGTCTTTATTTTTCTTTGTTCCCTGTAATTCTATTATACCCTCCATAATGAAGTGTCATTGGATGTGTTGAAAATCATGTTATTGACAATAATATGGTGTATATTGTCTCATTAGGTTTATATGTTGACTTCTGTTTGTTGACTCAGTGCTACATCAGATGCTGCAATAAATCATATACATACTTGTGGATTTGCTATTTGTTTGAAAGGAGAGTTTTTATTTTCCCCACTTAGAATGATGTTTGGGTCATTTGCCATCCTCTGCTCATCTGATGATTGTGAAGCTAAATAGCTTATATTTGAAGAAGGGCTAGATTGAAGTGGTACTCAAATGTTCAATCACAATTACGTGCAAGATCATATGAGTTCAATATATGAATTTGCTTTGCATATGTAAGAAAAAAAATAGTGTTTGAATCATGGTGCAATATAGATAGAATCACTGGTATGTACTATCTTTTCATGGTTGATTTCATTTTACTTTTCATTCCTTTTCAATTCAACTATTAACATAACAGAATTAGCAATATTCAGTGGAGTGTGATAGACCAAGTCTATAAGTCTTGTGCTTATCCCAAGTAGTAGTTGCTGCATATGTCAGCACCGTTATCATCTATCTTATTAGCATCTACTTTAGGATATGCTGTATGCTTTAGCATCTGCCATAGAATATGCTAAAACTTTCTTGAGTTGCAAGTTTGCTACTCCTATATGGACTCAGAAAAATCCTGTCATGGTTTGTGGCTAAAAATAGAAAATCTGCCCCAAATACCTGTGTCTTTGGCTAACAGAGTGAATTATGATGGAAAGAAGAGGGCCTTTTTTTTGCATGATTTTGCATGTCTTCTTGAATTAGTTTATCACTATTCCATTATTAGTTTCACACTGGTATTTTTCATGGTCTAATGCACTAAAGGTTTTAGCATAATATTGTTTGAGACAGCGATCCTAAGGTGTTCATCCACTTTCGAATAATTTGTACTTAAATAATAACATTTTTCCATAGTATATCCATCATCTGATGTGAACTTATTTGATGCCAGGTTGCGCTCTACTTTTCTGAGAATATGGTTGGTTGCAATAGGGAAGAGGCCTTAAGGGCCAGGGAAATTGCTGTGAAGAAGATGGAAAATAAAGATTTTTTTGGTGCCCAGAAGATTGTGCTTAAAGCTCAAAAGCTTTTTCCAGAGCTTGAGAATGTGTCTCAACTGTCAACCATCTGCAGTGTGCACTGTGCAGCAGAGTTAAGGGTGAATGGAGAGATGGACTTCTATGGAGTCCTTCAAGTGGAGGAAGGAGCTGACAAAGCCTTGATAAAAAAGCAGTACCGCAAGCTTGCATTTTCACTTCACCCTGATAAAAATTGTTTTGCGGGTGCTGAGGCAGCTTTCAAGTTGGTTGCCGAAGCTCATTCTGTACTATGTGATACTGCAAAGCGAAATGATTATGACCTGAAAAGGAGGAATGGATTTAGAAATGTGCCAAAGTCAGCCAAACAGCAGCCATCAAAGAAGACTGATTCACATAAACAGAGCATGCCTGGATCTAGAGAAACATTTTGGACTATATGCTCAAATTGTCAGATCCAATACCAGTACTACAGCAATATCTTGAACACCATGGTCCGCTGTCTGAACTGTAAAAGGAATTTTTTTGCATACAAGCTGAATCAACAGCCCATGTCCACTTCATCAAGTGTCAACAGCTCCCAAGTTCCTGCAAGCAGATTTGCGAATAAACAACGTGACACTCCCAATCAACAAGGTCACCCTATGAATCCTTCATCTGTAGGTAGAGGCACCAATGTGAAGCCAAATGGTTCCCAAGACCCTGCACACATGTTTCGAAATCAACAGCATGGTGTTTACAGTCAACATGGCCATCCTGTGAAGCCTTCTGCAGACAGAGACACAGATGCAAAGCTGAGGATGAATGTGGCCCAGCGTGATGAATACATGAAAGGGAGAGCTAATGACCCAGAGGTGTTGAGGGGGAAATTTCAATCTTCAACGCTGAATCAAGATAAATCTTCTGTCCCTATGGGAAATGGGGACATGCAAGGAAGGCCACCAATTTCAGACCCTGCTGATCCAAACATTGTCAACACACAGAAATCAGTTCAGGAAGATGCGTCTGCAGTGCCGGATGCTATGGATCTGCCTGGTTCTGCAAAGCCTTCTTCTGCAGGTGGGAAAATAGATGGAGATGCAAGGATAAATGTTGCAGGTAGTAGATTGATGCCAGATCCTGTTGATCTAAATATTACTGGCAGAAGAAATTTGCATAGACAAGATGCATCTACAGTGCCTACTGGTGCCGGATCCTCTGGTACCCAAAGCTCAGTTAAGAGGAAGACTTATGCTGATGGCAATGTTTGCCTGGACACGGATACCAACAAGAGGCCAATGAAAAATAATATTCCATCTGATGTTAACATGAGTTGTAAACAAGTATGTGATGATGGTGTCACTAATGCTCGCATACAATCAGATCCACCTCATGTGTCCGGCGGCAATGTAGACACCCAACAAAAGCCAAAAATTGCTGATATAAGTGATCATCAGGTAAATATCAAGGAAAAAGCTACTGAAACTGATAGTGATCAGGACAATATCATGGAAGAAGCTCCTCAAACTGTTAGTGAAAACGTAAATATCAAGGAAAAAGCTACTGAAACTGATAGCGATGAGGACAATATCATGGAAGAAGCTCCTCAAACTGTTAGCGAAAAGAAGCCTTCTTACTCTGTGCAGGTCACCCTCCCTGATCCAGATTTCTTCAATTTTGAGAAGATCAAGGATATCAATGTGTTCGAAGTTGGTCAGATATGGGCCCTCTATGATAACCTTGATGGCATGCCAAGGTATTATGCTCGTATAAAGCATTTTGATGCCTCCAACTTCAAAATACATTTAACTTGGCTGGAGTACGTTGCGATGGATGAAGATGAGGAGAACTGGACTGATGAAGAACTGCCTACTGCTTGTGGAAACTTTCGCCTTGGGAAAGGAACTGACATATCAGAAGACAAGGAAATGTTTTCTCACATTGCTTCTTGGACAAAAGGTAAAATGAGGAATTCATATGTCATATATCCTAACAAGGGTGAGGTGTGGGCTCTTCACAAGGGGTGGAGCATGGAATGGAGCTCAGATGCAGATAATCATAGATCATATGAGTATGAGGTTGTGGAAGTCGTGTCAAGTATGTCAGCCAATGGTGGCGCCACTGTTATCCCACTGGTTAGGATTGAGGGATTCATTTGTTTATTTGCAACAGCTAAAGACAAATCCTCATTTGTGATACCATCTAGTGAGCTGCTCCGATTTTCTCACAGAATCCCTTTTTTATAGGACAAAAGGAAATGAAAAGGTTGGTGTTCCAAGAGGATTTCTGGAACTGGACAATGCATGTCTCCCTGCTGACCTGGATGCAGCATTTTCCAATGTTACTCTTGACTCTTACACGTCTCTCAGCAAGAAAGAAAGCAGCACATCTGTTAATGTGACCACTGACAATACAAGTTGTAGAATGGATCTGGGAGATGATCAAATTGCTCAAAAGGAGAATCACCGTGAAGAGCATATTGGCCACCCCCACCCAATGTCTACAGACAATCCTAAAGATTTGTGCCCGGAACAAAATACACCCTTAAAGAAAACTGCTGGTGATGCCAATGAATTTAGTGATTGCTCTCTTCAAGGTAGCCTCTCCCCCAACATATACACATATCCTGATTCTGATTTCCACAAATTTGAAGAAGGTCGCTCCTGTGAGAAGTTTGAACGTGGACAAGTATGGGCCTTGTACAATGATATTGATAAACTTCCCAAGTTCTATGCCTGGATAAAAAAAGTCAGGGAAGAGCCTTTTAGAGTTGAGGTGATCTGGCTTGAGGCTTGCCCGAAACAGGATCAGGAGAAACAGTGGTTGAAGCAGGACATACCCATCAGCTGTGGCACATTCAAAATCCTAAAATGGAGAGCTGAGTATGACACAAGCGATACCTTCTCTCATCTGGTATATTTTAGAGAAACCGGCAAAAAGCGGGAGCTTGAAATCCTCCCACAGGTTGGCGATATATGGGCCGTCTACATGAACTGGGCACCTGACTGGGTTCCATGCAGTGTTGATGCCTGTGAGTTTGCTATCTGCGAGGTCATCGAGTGCACTGAAGCTAGCACAAAGCTCACCTTCCTGGCCCAAGTCAGCGGCTACCGATCCGTGTTCAAGCCTGACAAGCAAAGGGGAGTGCTGGAGGTACCTGCCGGGGAGGAGCTGAGGTTCTCCCACCAGATACCCTATTTCCGCCTGACGGGAGAGGGAGGCGGCAGTCTCCGTGGCTTCTACGAGCTTGACCCTGCTTCTGTCCCTGATGCCTTCCTGTATGGGGACACCTGATGATGACGGCTGGCAGATGCTGAACCAAACCCCGATTCTGGTTAGCATTATGTCTCAAGTGTTAGGCTGTCAGTTTATTTGGTGTACATATATGGCGGTTAGCTTAGTCTCACTGGAACCGTGCGGATATAGTCATATGGAGGTGCCTGGGGTGGGTTGCTATTTCTTACTAGTGCCTATGGAAAAGGTCTCAGGCGCTGTTGTGCTGGTTACAGCGCATTGCTACCGGTTAAGTTAATTCTGGTTTAATCTACCAGGGTCCAGACATGTCTTATGCGCGACAGTGTTTAACATTAACTTGTTATATGCTAGTGTGCATCTGTAGCGCCTAACCACTGCACCGTTGTTTTACTATGCAATCTTGGAGATGAAACCTGTACAGTTCAAGGTAATACTATATATATGGAGTTGTCTGTTATGCCAGGACAGTTAGAAATATGGCCGTTGAATGCTGTCTGTGTCTCTGTTGTAGCATGCAATGGTGAGTGACTACCTTATGTTACCTAGATAGAAATTTACATTCTCTCCACAGCATGGTTTGCTACGCGTGTTGGCGCTGCTTGCTGCTGCTGATTCAAACTATAGCTTATGCCATTTTAGTTTGAAAATCCAGGCAGTGCTCGTCCGGGGGTGGCGACCAGTGCTTAGCTACATCCAGACCAGAATGCTGCGTGAGAAAATAGTAGGGTATTCTTGGACACTGGCACACTGCATAGGACCGTATTTTTTTAACCCTTTTTTTTTTTTGAAAAATATTCACATTTATATCCTTGGGTGCCTTAAACCTGTTTTTGGCCTTGGAGTGAGCGCCGTGGCCCATGATGCTAAGATAACATGTCTCGTGCAATAGGCCATGGGGCCCAGCCTGAAGGCCTTGATGGCGTGGCGGGAGGACGTGGTGCTGACGTGGCCAGAGCTGGCGCCACGTAGAGGCTCGTTTCGATTGTTTTGATCCCTGTTTTAAAATGTTTCGATTGTTTTGATCCCTGTTTTAAAATATAAATATCGTGTACTCAAAATGCAAAATAGCTGTTTTGTAAGCATTAAGGGTGTGTTTGGTTAAGCTGTGGCTGTGGGAAAAAGCTGCTGTGGGCTGTGAGCTGTGGAAGAGCTACTTTGGACTGTGAGCTGTAGAAAAGCTGAAAGCTGTTTGGTTAAACAAGTATAAAATATATCTTTTATCTTTATCTCTAAACAATTATGGAAGAACTTTTTATTCCAACAATTTCAAAAAGCAGAAAGCCAAAAACAGAATTAAACTAGCTTTTAAAAATGTACTACGGAAAGCAGCTGTTTCTGAAAAAGCACCCTCCAAAAACAGTCCATTTAGTTGAGCTTTTGGCTTTTAGGACCAAAAGTCAAAGCCAAAAGCCCAACCAAACGGACTCTAAAATTAGCATGAAAATAATAAAACGATAAGAAATGTAAATACTGCATACCCGAAACTTATATCACTCCAATCTGAATAAAAATGTATAGAAGTGACAGTACGAGCACTGATTATATATGCCATTGATACTTGATATTTTACTCAAACCGACATGACGAAAAAGCTAGCAGCTAGTCTTCTTCGGTTAGTCAACGTGAACCAATCCTCCATGGTGGCACATCGTTTGTGAGAAAACAAATCAACTTTGAGACGCTTTTAGCTCTCGTTCGATTGGTCCAAATCCCGCTACTTCTTGGTAGTGTGGGAAGAGCCTGGATTTAACGTCTCTCGCTACGTCAGATTTTCACACCAGGAACGGGAGCATTTTTACTACAGGGACGGTTGGGGTTGGAGATGCCCCTACAGTGGACGTCATCGGGCCTCATCAGCCCAGCCGCCCCTACAGATAACACTATAGGGGCGGCTGGTAACCTGAGCTGCCCCTACAGTTGGGGCTGATCTGTAGGGGCGGCTCAATCATCAGCCGCCCTTGCAGTGCCCATTTGTAGGGGCGGCTTCTACCAGCCGCCCCTGCTGTTCGACTGTAAGGGCGGCTGAATCACCAGCCGCCCCTACTGATGGCGCACGAATAAATAGCAGCCACCTCTTCTTCCATATCGGGACACACTCTTCTAAAAAAAAGGTTGGGAGGCCTTAGGCTCCTCCTAAAAATTGATCTACTAAGGGGGAGGTTTTGGTCTCAAATCCTATGGTGGAGAGGCTCTAAAAGGTAAGAAAATGCTTCTCCAATTCTTTATTTAAAGTTTAATTCGTTGGTCAGTGAGTAATTTGATTTTTGGTTTTCTCTCTCTTCCATGGAGCTTGAGCTAGTCATGAGTGAAATTGGACCATAATTTTCACTATACTAGGATAAATTAGGTAGGGAAGTAAAATTGCACCCTTTGTTAGTACATCTTTGTTGACTTTAGTGTAGTATTAGTGAAGTTTGGTGCATGTGTCATGAAACCCTATATCTAGATCTAGATCTAGGATTTTGTTTTTTTTCTTTTTCAATTTTTTCTTTACGTGACTAGGGTTTGCATGTAGGTGAATGTGTAAGATTTTAATTGTTGCTAATGTGTAAAATATCCTCTACCATGGCTATTAATTATCATTTAATATTTATTTTGATTTCTTTCTATAATGTGTGTTTTTAATTAGTTATGGATAAATATGCCATTAATTAATTATCCTCTACCATGAAATTGGAATGGAGTTTGCATGAAAGGTAGTGGATGAAATATTAAATGTTGCTAATTGTTTTCTTTGAAATTATTTATTTGAACCAATTAATTTATATTTTAAAATATTTATGCATTAATAGTCAATTAATTAACTATCCTCTACTACCATGGTGCGTGTCTCAGGTATATACAATTATTCTCGAGTAATATTCTTTCTTTGGTTGTTTTGTTTCTATAAGATGAACTACAGGAACTCTTGGATGTATGGTTCGTTAAGACACGACGCTCTTTTCCGTGATGAGGTGCATAAATTCATCAAAGCCGCAGAGAAACATGCAGCGATGTTGAAAGAGAATAGTGACACGATTATTTGTCCCTGCAAAGATTGCAAGAACCTTATTGCATTTCGAGATGTGAGTACCATCAAAGAACATCTGATTAGAAAGAGGATTTATTCCGGACTACACAGTGTGGATTCATCATGGTGAAACAGTGGTTGTTGATGACAGCGATGATGATCTAGCTGATGAAGCTGAAACCCAAGCATACTTGTCCCAATTCACAGACGATCTTGAGCAACAAATGGATCATGACTATGGCAATCAACAAGGTGGTGGTTTTGACAATCAACAAGGTGGTGGCTTTGGCAATGAACAAGGCAGTGATGATGCTGGTGGTGCCAGCAATGATGGCGAAGCACGTGAGGGGGATGCAGATGACGGTGACAACTTGGACAAAATGCTTGGGGCCTTTGGACCATAAATATTAGAAAAGAGCAAGAGAGGTCTAGAAAATCTTGAGAGGGTGACAAAAGCATCGAAGAAGACTGTGTATGATGCTGAGAAGGGTTGTCCGACATACTTTACACTGATACGTTTTGTGCTTGAGCTACTCATCCTGAAGGCTAAGTACGGCTGGTCGGACTGCAGTTTCGATGATCTGTTGTGCCTCATGTCACGGTTGCTCCCACGGCCGAACACAGTTCTCGCCAACACATACCAACCGAAGAAGGTTATAAGTCCACTCACATTGGGGGTTGAAAAAATCCATGCATGCCCCAACCACTGTATCCTTTTTCGGCGTGGCACATCGTTCGAGACTTTAGATACATGTCCTAGGTGTGGGGCTAGTCGGTACAAGAACAATGACCTTCAAAGTGGGGTGGAAGCCTCCACAGAAAAGAGGAAGAAGGGTGGGAAGAAGGTGGTGCAAGAATATCAGCCTCCAGAGGAAACTCCATTAGGCAACGATGCAAATAAGAGAAGAATTCCTGCCCTAGTTATGTGGTACTTGCCGATGACCGACCGCTTGAGGCATATGTTCCTAAACCCTAAGGAAGCCGCACTGATGACATGGTGGGATGATGAGCGCAAGGTGGATGATGATACGATCGCACACCCGGCCGATTGTAGCCAGTGGCAAGCGTTCGATGCCAAGTACAAAGCAGAATTCAGTGATGACCCACGGAATGTACGGTTCGCCTTAAGCACCGATGGAATAAATCCCTTCAATGAGAGGATGACCGACCACAGCACATGGCTAGTCATCTTGACCATGTACAACCTCCCACCGTATTTGTGTCAGAAGAGGAAGTACCTTCTCCTCACCATTCTTATCTCTGGCCCCAAACAACCAGGCATTGATATAGACGTGTTCTTGGAGCCTCTGATGCAAGAAATGGAGAGGCTATGGAGGTATGGGGAGCCGATGTACAATGCGTTCCAGCGGGAGGACTTCATATGCGAAGCAATAATATTTGTTACTACCAATGATTACCCTGCGGTGAGTCGGGCGCATTACAGTGTCTTGTAGAGTATGGCAGTGATGCAACCGTACATTGATGAACACATGGCTATCATTATGGCCGAGAGGAATGGCCGTTCAGATGATTGGGTCATGAAATAGCATAAGCAACGCCTGACATCATGGTTGAAGGACCAGAACATACAGCCTGGAGAAACCATAGATTCTATTACCATCAGTCGGTTGGCGGCCGGGTCATCGAAACAGGTGACGTCTTGGAATGCTTATGACATCAATGGGTACACATACTATACCGACACAAAGGACAAGAAATCTGTGAATCAGAACAGCGGCATCCGAATAGAGGCTCTCGACAGAGTGGGGCGAAAGGTCCTGTACTTTGGCATAATTGAAGATATATGGGAACTTGACTATGTAAGGGATATAAAGGTGGCCCTGTTTCGATGCCGCTAGATCAAGCAACATCAGTTCAATGAGATCGGACAGAGAGTCGTCAACCTCTAGAATGTAGGCTACTAGGATGACCCTTGGGTGCTCGCTGAACGTGTCGCACAAGTCTTCTATATGCCCGACCCACAAAGTAACCTCCCCCAAAGAAGAAGACAAAGCACGTGGTGGCCTCC